CCAGTTAACAAATATATAAACATGAGTCATACACTTTTAAACTCTGAGTCTTGAGTAGGAATTTAAACCTTTGTGGACGAGTATTGATATATTAGATATCAAAAGACACACCGGTAAAATTCTATTTAGCATCCAAAACCATTCTTCCAACTTTTCAGTTTGTAAACAGTAATAACCAGTGTCTTGCGAGTAAGTAGTATAGCTTATCAACTTCAGAGAGAGTGAGTTGGGTTTAACGCCGCTTTTAAAAGTATTCCAGTTATATCACGGCGTGTCAGCTTAATGTGGGAGGAAAGCCCGAAGTGATGCAGGTCTCAGACGTTTACCACTTCGGTGAAACCCACGAGCACGGGTATGGTGCTGACAAACCTAGAAACATAATCGGGGCGAACCGGGATTCGAACCAACAATCATAGGTGTCTGGCGTGTCCAAGGGACGCAACTCTGCACAGCGAATCGCGGCGCCTTAAACGACTCGGCCACCCGTGCCCCTTAAGTGGCAGAGAGACTAGTGATGTCATGTGATTGTTACGTCATGGTGACCGAGTGGTTCAATATCATTGGCGGGGATATCGCGTGATTTCGCCCAAGCGATATATCCCGTGGAAGCCAGATTCGGATTAACTGGTCATATTAATTCAGTTGACATGAATCCCCCCGAGAAAACACCAGTGGGCGGCACACTATCGCATATCAAATATGAGCATAATTGTATATATGACCAGACATGCGTTCCGCCCCTTTGTTGCGGCAGTATAAGCTGGTATTGGGGAAGATTTTATCGCCCTGGACTATTGCAGAGTGCGGCGTTAACAACAAACCAAACCAAAACAAAACAACAAGGTCAAGGTGTTTTGCAAGCCCGGGGGCTGTAGGGTTTAGTAAAAAAGAGTATACAGTTTCAGTGTTACGATATACTACCAAGATATCTCTTACACGAACAAAATAGTCCCCGGCTTCATTTTTCTGGCTTATGTAGAATGCAAATAGTTAAAACAGTTCATTGACCTTCTGTATCGTGAGCGTTGGCAATGACGGGACAGTGGTGAAATAGTGCAAGGATTCAGTGGCAATTTGGTTCTGATCGATAACAAGTTTCTGCATTCTAGAGTTGCCTGTAGGCCAAGGGTTCTTCACGAATCAATACAAGATCATTCTTGTAAAAGATCATTGGTTAAATACAATGTAGAATGATAAATCTAGAACGCATTCCAGTTTGGATGCTACAATTTGTCAAAGACAAGCAATTAGACATGTATGTTCATCCAGTGCTTGCGTGGCTGCCGTCCAAAATTCTAAAAAACGTCAAATAAGCAAGATACTTTGGGCAACACATTGCACGTTCAATCTAAAGAACCAGTGAAGCCATACGCTCTGTTACCCGCTATTAATGTATATGATAACCGTACAATCAATTTCATGGATATTTGAATAAAATAAATACGAAATTTCGTATATTTCTTGTAATTATTATCAGTAATTATTACTAATTGGGTTTTTTATGCCCACCTGTGGCCTTATTGTCAGTGATGACTCGCGCAAACAATCGGTATAATAAAACCAGCCATGCATTATTAAAGAAACAGTTGTGTTCGTTAGAGACAGAAGGTACCAGGTGAACTGAATACAGGCGATAAACGTCTTGATAACGTTTGTCATTTTTTTCTCTATACAAGTTTCAAGTATATACGGTTCACTTGCACTTAGCTATTTTGACAAGCATAACTATTTTCTCGGTATGCATTTAGATGAATTAGTGTTACATAGAGGGTATTATATGAGTGTTCATGTCACACTATGTTTACGACACGAGGGGGAGGGAAATACCGCAATTTCTTATATAAATTACATACAGTAATTCAGTGTGAAAGACTGAGTTTTGTGTCGTTGAGAAAAGTGATATTTTCATTGCAGTGAATATAACACTTGATATTTCACTGCAGTGAACGAAACTATTGTCATACAAGAGTTAACTCCTCTTAAATTGTCTCCCTTTATCCTAGGTGGCAAACCCAAACACAAACTATTGACGTCCTTCTCGTACGTTAGTTCCACATTGACAAGACATATTAATTATGGATGGTCTTTCACACTGAAGTATATAATAAATAGAGGTTATCACGCGAGTGTGTTTGGGGATGGTAAATATCCTGCATTAGGAATAAACGTTGTATTTAGCGAGCCTTGGCGAGCTAAATACATAGTGTTTATTCCTAATGCAACCAAAATTGTTTCGAAATTTATATCTCCAAAGTTGCCAAAACTTATAAAATGCCTTAGCTACGTCACAGTTAGACACTGATTTTAAGTATATTAGACTGTTCTTTTAATAATGATAGCAATTATCCCTGTAGTTTATCCAGATTCCCGATGGTTAATTCTAACTCGATTGCCGAATGACGAGGGCGAGGCCATGTTTGTTTATAAACAGTGAAAGTAGTTCCTACTTGACCTTTGATATTTGCATCTCTATCCGCATATGACCCCAACGGATATCGTTTTTATCCGTTGGCTTTATCTGCCGAGAAACCTACCCATTATATGATAAATACTAGTATTTGTATATCACGAAATGACGAGCAGAAGGATTCTTCGCCAAGGCTCGCTAAATACAATGTTTATTCCTAATGCAGGATATTAACCATCCCCAAACACACTCGCGTGATAACCTCTATATATTCAACTCGTGTAATGACTCACCTGTTTTGAAGTATTTAGTATATTCAGTATATTTGGTATTAATGGTTATCACTATTAATGATGATTACATAAATATAACCTTGGATTAAAAACAAATAAAGTGACTGAGATATCTCAATTTATATTTCATGACATGTTCCAATTCAAGGTATTTTCAACAAATTAACAACACGTTATTTACAAATACATCTTCCCGCTTCAGGAACAGATATCATCATCTACTAGTATCATTTATATCAATTATTTCTTGATATTAATATTATGATTATGTAAGTAAAATTGCAATTCAAGCAATTTGGTATCTTTAGTACACATTCTGTACGAAGATAATAATTCACTCCCGCTGACACAATAATGCTCATTGTACTTCTCCCTAGTAAGATGATGTATTCGGTGGTGTATTCGGTGATGTATTCTCGGTGGTGTATAAGGTGGTGTATTCGGTGATGTATTCTCGGTGGTGTATAAGATGATGTATTCGGTGGTGTATTCGGTGATGTATTCTCGGCGGTGTATAAGATGATGTATTCGGTGATGTATTCTCGGTGGTGTATAAGATGATGTATTCGGTGATGTATTCTCGGTGGTGTATAAGATGATGTATTCGGTGATGTATTCTCGGTGGTGTTTAAGATGATGTATTCGGTGATGTATTCTCGGTGGTGTATAAGATGATGTATTCGGTGATGTATTCTCGGTGGTGTATAAGATGATGTATTCGGTGATGTATTCTCGGTGGTGTATAAGATGATGTATTCGGTGGTGTATTCTCGGTGGTGTTTAAGATGATGTATTCGGTGGTGTATTCTCGGTGGTGTATAAGATGATGTATTCGGTGATGTATTCTCGGTGGTGTATAAGGTGGTGTATTCGGTGATGTATTCTCGGTGGTGTATAAGATTATGTATTCGGTGGTATATTCAGTGATGTATTCTCGGTGGTGTATTCGGTGATGTATTCTCGGTGGTGCATAAAGTGGTGTAGTGAGTGAGTGAGTGAGTTGGGTTTAACGCCGCTTTTAAAAGTATTCCAGTTATATCACGGCGTGTCAGCTTAATGTGGGAGGAAAGCCCGAAGTGATGCAGGTCTCAGACGTTTACCACTTCGGTGAAACCCACGAGCACGGGTATGGTGCTGACAAACCTAGAAACATAATTGGGTGAACCGGATAAAGTGGTGTAATCGGTGGTGTATTCGGTGATGTATTCTCGGTGGTGTATAAGATGATGTATTCGGTGATGTATTCTCGGTGGTGTAATCGGTTGTGTATTCTCGGTGGTGTATAAAGTGGTGTAATCGGTGGTGTATTCGGTGGTGTATAAGATGATGTATTCGGTGATGTATTCTCGGTGGTGTATAAGATGGTGTATTCGGTGATGTATTCTCGGTGGTGTATAAGATGGTGTATTCGGTGGTGTATTCTCGGTGGTGTATAAGGTGGTGTATTCGGTGATGTATTCTCGGTGGTGTATAAGATGATGTATTCGGTGATGTATTCTCGGTGGTGTATAAGATGATGTATTCGGTGATGTACTCGGTGATGTATTCTCGGTGGTGTATAAAGTGGTGTAATCGGTGGTGAATGAGGTAACAAGATGGTTGCAGGTCACTATCCTGGTTCAAAGTTATACTATCCAAATAAAAGCAACAAATCCAATTCCACAATCATAGGAAAACTTGATACCCCAGGCAGGAATTTTGCATCGTTCTCACAGTGATGACACCAGGCGTTTTCGATAACTGAATATTTATTTGTTTTAATTTTGATCTGGTTGGTTTATGCATAAACTGTGGTCTTTACTTACCAAGTAAAGTAATCTCGATATGGCTGCGAAAATGCAGAAGGGGTGAAACGTAACTGACTCACTCTATTCTCTAATAGCTGTTTATCAGCAAAGCGACCACAGTGTATATCTACAAAAGTGACAATTCTCTATCAGACGTTTTCAAAATGAACCTATTAAAGTTAAACGTTTTACTACACATAGATCAACAAAGTGAATTATATGTTTATCAACATTGACTGAATTGCTCAACTAGGCAAATAGGATCTGCAAGTTATTGCAATTGAAACATATATATAAAATATATATGTATACAACTGTCAAGTAGCTGATGATAATGATATGCTAGCCCTCTCTCCTGTATATCATTGCAAAATTGCGCCCTACTCGAAAGACTTATAATTAGGAGACATTACCTGGTGTGTAGTCTACAGTGTCCCGGACTAACATGTTATGATCATCAGCTAATTGACAGTTGTGTGAAATAGCGTTGCATACAAAATATAGTAACTCTACCTGTCTGTCAGCTCGGTCCGCACGTCCGCTCTGGCGATGAAGGGATTATTGTTGCGTGTGGAAGGCTTCTTGGGTTACTGAGAACCAAACCAGCTGAAACCAGAAATATCTAGTCTGGGCTCGCTACATTTCGATTTCAGTCAAGCGAGTCAGGTGACTGAGAGACTCTGTTAAATGGGGTGTGACTACAACTTGGCGGTTGTATAGCAGAGTGAGGCTTGGAACAGGACGTTGATAAATAGACACACTGAGATTCAGTTATGTGTGTTGACCAGGAAATCTGGGAGTTACGGCATGTGTCGTACACAAGAGTCGCTCGACCATGGCCACAGCGGAGTATGTGTGTATGTGGGAGAGCTCGCGCGGTTTTGTTTGTATACAAGCGCTGATATGGAATATCGGTTTGATGGTTGAGTTGCGTATCATAGAGAGAAATGGATCGATATTAACCAGGGCTGAACAGCTGAGAGAGATTGATACCAGAAAGAGCATACTGTGCGGGCTGTTGCAAGTTTTGCTGGGGTTCGAATGTCAGATTATCTCCGAGGATGAGTATAATATTTCAGTTTTATCACATTGTTCGGATTAATGTGAGAGGAAAGCTAAAAATAATGCAGGTTACAGACGTTTATAATATTTGAGAAACCAACTGTTATGGTGCTGACAAACCAATGGTAATAATCTGGGATTCGAACCAACAATCATAGGATCCTGGCATGCGCAGGGAGACAACTCTGAATTGCGTCGACTTAACTGTACCAACGGTGTCCGCTTTGAGAAGAAACACAGAACGACAACATTTGTTTTACCGAAGTCATTATTCGAACAGTAGTCACAATAAACAAACTAGAGAATATACTTTAATCACTGTTGATAGACAGTAGAATCTCTTTAAGGCGAACTGAAATCGCCTCGTGGTGTAGTGGTAGAGCGTCGACCCGGGGAGCGGAAGATCGGGGGTTCGAGCCTTTGATGAACGGCGCCATGATTGCGACACACACACACTCGTTTTAGACCGATAGATGATAATAAAATACGTCACAGGGTCTGTGAAAATACTTTGCTGGGGAAGACGTGTTCAATTGCATTTTCCAACTCAATATGTGAATATGTGTACTTTATGCAAAATCTGTGAACCAGAAGCCCGTTTTGTAAGCCATTCATTTACCCCTGCCAAATGCGCTTCTTTTGTAATTAAGCGATTTGATCTCTCGAGGAGCATGTTGATATAAGCCGTCGTTATGTGTGATAATATCACGATTTTGTCTTCAGCTATGAGATGTTAACTGCTGCCTACGTGGTCTAGAGGACAGAGCATGTGCACGCATAGCGGAAGTTGGGGTGTTCGATCCCTGGCCGCGTCATTTCAAAAGACGTTAACAAATGGTACTTGTTGTTACCCTGCCTGGCGCTTTGCACTGAGGGGATACAAAAGGACGGGTCCTCTCTGAGTCAGTATACAGTGTCTGAGTGGGGTATTCATGTTAAACTGCGACGATGTATCTCAGTGGGCTAGCACTATAAAATCGGCATTAGTCCGGACTAGTAGAAGCAGCCGCGCACGCACGCACGCATGCACGCACACACGTGCATGTACGTCAATATGTAAGTGCAAAAATCATGAACGCGACGTTAAACCTCATTTCACCTAACCTCAAGTCGAACTTGTGTTTCGGGCGTTTGTTGTGAGTGGAGAATCACGTACGGATGAAGTTGGGGAGTGCGGCTGTATTTGAATAAATAAAATCGACAAACCATTCCCATAATCATACGAAATCTCTGGGTGGGACACCCGTCGTTCATGTTCTGAACACGACACCATGTTGAACCTGATGTCTGAGAGTAATAACGTTCAGTACACGTATTAATAATGTCTTGACCAACACTGGACATGGGGTATCAGGTTACTAAACAAACAATGTCCCTTGGAGCAAAATGTCTTGGCCACAAAAAATAAAACATGCTATTATCTTGCGTTTTTTCATATCATCAAAAATACTTTCAGATACTTTTTTGTCGAATCATTTGCGATTTTTATTACATAGCTTAGACGGAATGTCGCCATAATGTATAATAACAATAAACAATTAAATAACAATAGAAAACAAAACCTAAACGAACAAGATACACTGCCTGGCAAAAGAAAGTATGCACTTGAAAATTATATTTGATCACACAAGTACAAACTTTATTAAACCGTTACCAGGCTGAAAACAGTTGCTGAAACATTGCAAGTCCAAAACCATGATATCCGCTTCAAATTCACCCCCATCGAATAACCATTTCTTCTTTGATTTTTAGCCCTCATCAAACATGGTAGCATACTTTCTTTAAGCCATTAAGTATATATCAGCTGGTTGATATCATGTGTGTATATCTCCTTTAACCAAGGTACATATAGAGGTCAACACTGTCCAGAATGACAGCACACAATGCGTTATTGCACGCTTGGGAGTTATTCCTTAGGAACGCTTGTTCGAACGCTGACCTTTTGCTGTGACTGTATATTCACAAAGAGCATTGATGTGATGACTGTTACCTAGAGGACAATGGTGCACCTTATACTAGGAGACACTGTCTGACAAAGTAGGGAGTTATCGATATTAATCTGCTTACACTTGTCTCCTGCACACCATGTAAGTGCTGTAATATCTAAAGGCAATTGTACAGGATAGAATAAGTATTTATTTCCAAACATGTCGCTTACAAGATTTAGGCCGGTAACCCGTGAATGACCTGTTCCAATAAAGAATGTTTGTGCGTATAAAACGGAAAGCCCCGTTATACAGTTATACAAAACAGTAGCTGGCATAGGCAGGACTTCTTGTACACAAGCAGTAAGTGGATCACTGCGTTTATTGGGTAGGTACAATGCATGCTGTACGTTACTTTTAGAACATATTATATGCAATCACTTACACATATTTCCTGTCTGATCTCGTTCAATAACGGTCTGGTAGCCAATTCCCTTCCCCTGATCTACCCACCAAAACAACAAATAAACAAGACCAGTGAGATCGACTGATCTGTTTCGTATGTGGATCTATGCATAAAGATTCAGAGTGACGAAAAATTCTCCTCAAGACTGTATGACAAGCCTGATGACATCAACTTTCCATAAGTCAAAGCTCCAGGCTTTGGTGTCATTATTTGAGGTACAATCGAGCGTTCTATTCTTGCGACGATTTAACCGAGTGGCCTACGACATTTACTCAAAAGTTGTTCAATCCAGGTTATGACAATTCATGTCCCCAGTAAAGCTTTTAAAGCGTTTATTGCGCCTGGAAATTAATTAAGCACCACCCAAATCATAATGACTCGGAATAAGTTTTGAAATGAGTAAGTTGTATCCATATACGTATAGGAGAATGTTCGAAATCTCGCGATTATTTTCGCATGTGAAGTCTTGAGGACTTTCTCCAAATTTAAACAAAGTTCGATAAAGTTGATGCCCCAAAGTAATCTTCAAATGATATTCACTGTACTGTGCTATACTGTGGGAGGGTGACCGCTCTTGTTTAACTATGGGATGGGAACCTTTCAAGGAAAACTATGGGACGATTTAGTACCCATACTCAAACAATTGGAGTGTTAGCAATATGATTGCGTCTATCCAACTGTCATTAAAGTTCACGCAACTTTGTTTCAATAGATTTTAATGGCCCTTTTCTCACTCCATACCATAACCAAGGCTTAATGTTGTCACATACTGCACGTGAAGCACAGTACCTTCCTCAACACCTGCATGCTCATTACAAAGTAGTGTCATGGCGCGTCCTAGATTGCTTGAAGGAGTTAACATGGCGGTCATTGAATGATGCAGGAATCGGACTTTACAAGCTTGGACGTCACCATATCGCAATTGCAAGTTTAGTACAGAAATACCAATGAAGTACCAACAACCAAATACCAACAATGACCAAGCCACACCCAGGTCAGCCTCGCAGGACACCTAGGTGTGAAGATGCAGCGTTATTAAGGTTTGTTAGACGACGTCCATTTGACAACAGTGAAGTTTTAAAGACTCAGTGACTACAAGACAGAGCGATTTCAACCAGAACCAGAAGAAATCGTCTGAAAACTAGCTGTACACAGAGCAAGAAGACCAGTCTCTTGTTAACCGAGGCTCAGTTACCAGGCTACATTTAGAATTAGGCTACCAGATTCATGATTTATGTATCGAAATCAAATCCCGGATAATTACCGAATACCATATAGAAAGTATTTTTATATTGTAAATACAAGCAAATCAATTTCAATTCCAAATCACAAGAAAACATGTATGTATGGATATCCCGCCCGTCATATATATATTTATGTCCCCCACATTGTTCGTACACGGTGATTTGTTTGAACCATACTGGATGAACGATGCTACAGGAGTATCCCGACTTAATGAATTCCTGGTGCGACCCACACAGATATCACAAGCTGTTGTAACAAATGGGTCATCACACAGCTGTGCAAAATTTCTTTGGCTGATCGTGCTGGAAATGCCATCTTTGCATATATGTGCATAATATATAATTCATATACATTGACAATGACCTGACTAGCTTATTGTATGCTTTAGTATGTTTTATAAACATATATATTTTACACTGTTTGTCTTAGTTGTCTGTGACAAACCACCACTCTGATAATATTAACAAAGTTTGACACAGACTATATCCTAATCCATTAATACCCTATCCCAAATGTGCTGGAGTTTGAAACAGGGAAGCGGGCATCTTCCGGAGGCAAGTGTATCCACTAGCCTGTATCCAATCCTGTATTTAAGCCTAGTTTCTACACAAACGTTAGACTTTGAGAAAAAGGCAAGTGGTCGCTCTTACCTCGGGAAGATGGGAAGCAGGATGAAGGCAGTGAACACGTGTCAGAATTAGGATGGGGGAGGGTGATTGTGGTCGCAAACGATCATCACATCCTCTGGATCAGCTATAGCCTCACATCCGACACATAGCGGTGACATCTGACGGCCAACGGACTACGAAAGGAGGGTCAGCCGACACTCACTTCACAGATTTTCATCGGACACTACAGCACCAAGATCCTGAAGATGGCTCCAAGAAAGAACAGAAATGTTGGAGGACAGAAGGCAAAGAAGAGATCTCCAAGCACTCCTCAACAATCTCATGTGCCAGAAGACTCCTCTGTGCCTCCTCCTGAAGATGCAGATGCAGCCGTGTGGCTGAGAAGTGATTGGGGCCTGAATAGGCCTATTCAGGCCCCAATCAATGCTCAGCCACACGGCTCTCCCTGCATCTTGGTGCATAGTTTGTTGCTGGAGCATAAAAACACAGCCTAGGGCTGCAGCGTTGCGAAGAAGTGGATCCA